CAGGCATGAGGACACGGCAGAGATCCCCCCGGGCCCCGTGCTGGATGTGCAACCGGGGCAGCCCCGGCAGGCGGGGCAGAGCGCAGCCCCGGCTCAGCACCCTGTGGTTGGCTCTGGGCGGCACGGCCAGGCCCTCCACGCCCAGGGGCCACCAGGGCCCCCATGCTGCCTGGTGGACACGCCTCCTGGCCAGCCTGCTGGGGCGTCCACTGTGAACAGGTGGAGGGGCTTCTCCACCACTGAGATTTGCCAGCCACTTTCCTCCTCCCAGGAGAAGTCCCTTGTCCCCCTGAAAAGGCAGGTGACCCCTCACCTCTGCCGCAATGGCCTCAAGCCATGCCCCACTGGCTGCACAGCTGCCACCACTCACATGAGGACCCTGATGCCAGGCTGACGGGGTGTGAGGTGGGGCAGGGGAACCGACCCCCCAGGACAACCGGGGCTGGATGCCGGCAGGGGAGGCACTGGGTGGCGGCTGTCTGGGGCTGCTGCACATGCGGACGTGTGTGCACCTGGCCCCAGGCGGCTGTGGGGGATGAGCCGGTGACCCGAGGGCCTGCGGGGAGCAGACGGCAGGGTGACCCGAGGGCCTGCGGGGAGCAGATGGCAGGGGTCCCGGACCCGTGCTGTCAGCCCAGGACTGGCAGTTGCCAGGGCTGCTGTGAAATGTTCCTGGGGCCGAACTGTAATCCTCAGCTGAGCCTGCACCCCAGAGGCTGGGGGCGCCCTCCTGTGCCTGGCCGCCTGCCCCCACTCCCTCGGCCTCAGATCCTGCAGACAGGTCAGAGGTCGTGGGCTCCCAGGGCCCTCGGTGATGGTGGAGGGAGCTTGGACATGGGAAGGGGACTGGACGCCTCTGGGAGGCACGAGCACATCCCACAAACTCAGCGGCCACTCCAGCCTCACCCCCTCGGTGGGTGGACAGCACAGGCCCCTGCTCCAGGCGGGCTCCATGCTCCCCACCCAGCCCGTGCACGCTGGCCTGCCCACTCCACCGCCTCCTGTACATGGCACGGCCCCACGACTGCTCCAGACCCTGCTCCCTTCTGTGCTCCCTCTGCACCTGCACAGCATGCCACACGCACGTGCACTCACTCACCCATGTACATGTGCACACCCACAGATGCACACGGCACACCCCTCATGCACGCTCACATCACACACGCAGCCCCTCATGGCACACACGTGCACGCCCACACAAGGCACACGTGTGCGCACAGCTCTCGCTCACTCAACTGGTCCACGAGGCCCACGTCTACCCCTCCTGCTGGGTCTGGCGTAGAGAGGGTGCGGGATCTGGGAATGCAGGACAGCTCAGAGCCGCTGCTCCCTCAGGGCCGAATTTGTCTGAGG